AACAGTTGTAACGCGTCCTCGACGTGTCTGGAAATTTTTAATCCTTCAATCTATAGCCATCGATGAAATTTTGTTCGTTCGATTATATAGTCATAATTTTGATTTTTTTTTTAATATTTTAATTATTAATAACTGATTTCCTAATCATGATAAGAATTTCTAATTTCTTATGATCTTAACTTCATAAAAGTTCGAAATTTTAAATCTTATTTAACCTATCGAACAACTTTTCAAATGTCTTAGTTTTAAATACAATTGAAATTCGATTTTAATTTCTTTGAGTAAAATTTCAGAAATTTTTCTGTTCTTTTTTTCAATGTTCTAGAGTCAATCTCAAGAAAGAAAATTCGTGATAAAAATATTTCATGAATGTTCATGAAAAAGTGGAAAGTAAAGTTTCAAACGACTTACCCTTCATGTCGAGGACCAATGCCGTTCTCCCGGTCAAAGGGACGATCTTCGATTCTTCAACCAAGATTCTTACACTACGCTCAAGGAACAACTTTCAAATTTCACCGATCACTGGCGATCGTTTCTCGATCGCAACACTGCACACCAACGATTCGTCGATTCAGTTTCAAAAACATAAAACACACTTTCTGAAAAAAAAGAAAAACAATAGGTTAGATTAAGTTAGATTAATTTAGATATCACTAATCCTAAATTATAATTATAAATATTATTTTTTAAAGCATAAGAATCTTAAACTATTAAATGTATTATAATTATACATACATACATAAACATAAATATATAAATGTAATATCTTATTGGAAGAGAATTAAAAAGAAGAACTTGAAAAAAAAAATATTTCAACAGAATTCCTAAAAAAACTTGAATAATATAAATATAATTAATATAATTAAAAAAGCTAATACCATATTATTTTGAAATCACATTTCCATACATTTAATGATAAAAGTTAAAAAAACAAACCAATCATTAATTTCATTATTTTATCTTTATTTATCCTTTGTACAAACATATTCGAAAAAGATTTATTTATTTATATATTTTTAATTTAAGCTATTTATTTCAGAGAATGAGAAATATAAATAAATTCGTAAAAGATTAATTTGTTTTTTAATTTTTTATTCAATAAATATATCTATAATTTTTAACTCTTATTTGATTTTTAATACCGTATTTATCAAATAAAATTTGTTTCTATATATTTTTTTCTATATAAAAAAAAATTATAAAAATTATAGATTAAATTTAATCAACGTTACAAATTTTGATTAATGAAATCATCTTGTACATTATTTTCAATTATATTGTTAAAATTTTTGAACTTTCATCTCATCATTGGAATCCCTGAAACATCTCCATTTTGCAAAATAACATAAGTTAATGATGGATATAACAATGACAGTATTACGCAATATCTCATGACTCTCGAATTGAATTTCCAGGGAACCAGCATATTAAAATGTGTCTCGATTTTCCAAATATGCGACCACACATCGGATTTAAAATTTAAATGAGAATTAAATCTTTATGGAATTCGCGTATTAGAAGAAACGAGTTAATAGAGGCGACAAATTAAAATCGATGCTCGTGCTTAATTGGGTTATTACGATTCAACGTTATGGTTGCAAAGTTTTCGAAGAATAAGCGTCAGTCTCGAGTTACTATTTAATGAAGGTTAGGTTATAATAGGATCACGCATGAAATTAAAAAGCAGTATAATAAAGATGGATAATTACTGGCCTCTAGCGGTGGTTGAAGTTACTTGATATTAAAATTAGAGCACTCGAGGAATAACGAGTAGATGTAGCTGTGTGGCGTTGGTTACGATTTAGAATTGTGATAGAGGTTAGTCACGCATGAAATGAAAAAACTAGGAGTAATATCGTGGACACAAGGGATTAAAGTTGAACTATGACTGGCAATGAAAAATTAGAATGTTTGAAAAATAATAAAGTTAATTAAAATTCACGAAAGAAAAATGTAATTAAAATCCCCTAAAAGAGGAATTGGTTAATATTAAAAAATTAAAAATAAAATTATTATAAAAATTAAAAAGAAATTTAAAAGATAAAATTGAATCGATGTGTCAAAATTAGGTTAGGTTAGTTACATGATATTAAAGTTGAAACGGATTAATGCAAGTTGGAACAGTTATAGGCAGTTGCACGTAGGTCGTGGTGAAACAGAATTGTTGCGTTTAGGTATTAGAACAGATTAGCACACCAGGGCCACCGGATCTGAACGAAATCCTATTAGATCAATTAATACATAAGCTGTAAGCAAACAATCGTTAAGCTCTCATTCAGGAAAATTATGTAGTTCGAAAATTTGATAATTTACAACATCTTAAATATTTTACATTTAATTCATAAATTATATTACAATGCATTTTAAAAATACATTAAAAGTTTAATAAAATATAAGTAAAATATTTTTATGTTTTAAATATTCATTAATAATATGTATAAGTTGAGTGTTTAACTACCAACCTTAAAAATAACAAAAAGAAATCTAGTAAAAAAAAACTAATTATAGAAATTCGAAAGAAGAAATTCGAAAAGACGTTACAAGATTGATGTAAAGATGTGAATATATTTTTTAAAGTTAGCTTTGTTTAATGGATATTACATTCAGAGTGAAAATTATCGAATAGTTACTTTCTAGTGACAAGAATCCTCTAGTAAAAAATAACAATAGCAATTCTCAAGTTTGATTCTCAAATAATTTGTATTCTCAATAAAAGACGGATAATCATGATTCTGAATAATAGAAATCTTAGTGTATCTCAAATATAAAAATATTTCTATCTGCACAATATTCAACTCGATTTAAAAATCAGAGAGTTCCCAAAGGGCAAAGAAACAATTTAATTGTAAAATTTCTTCACAAAAGTGTCACCTTTTCAGCAAACAAAAGAAAGTGCAAAGACGTAATGAAATTCCTTGAGGTGCCACACCAAAGAAAAGAAACTCGATAAAGCATCTATAAGAAGTTCGAAGACCAGGGAATAGTGAACCAATTTACGGTCAATACTTACGTTCTGACAAAAAGAACACGAAAATGAGCGTAACTTTTACAACATTCGAAAAAGAATGACAATTGGGACGGTCAATGAAGTTTTTAACTCAACTTTCCAAAATTCGTTTCTTTTCTTTTTTATTTTTTTAAGAATAAACATTTTAAAATTAATGTTGAACTTGATAAGAGAATATTAAAAGCAAGTTAACTGGTAAGTTTTGAATGAATTTAATAAAAGATAGAATCTTTAAAAAAAATTGTAGTTAAAATGTTTTGTAAAATCTTGTTTCAGCTTGAAAACTAATTTAGATTTCTTGATAATTTTTAATATATAATATTAAGATCTAAGAATCGAGGAGGATTCAATTGAAATAACATTAACCTCAATCTGCATTGAAACACTTTAATTCTTGAAAATTTCTATTTTTACGATTAATATTTTATCCTATATATCTGAAAAATAATGTTTAAATTTTATTTTTTGTTGTTTTTTTCATATGACGATTCTTCTTTGTTGAAAATCGAAAAATCTGAAATCAAATTCCGACGATTCGTATATCGAGGAAAATGATAGATGTCATCGAGCTTTTTTGTCCTACTCTTTGAACATAAATTAATTTTCCATCTGGGTTCCCGCTCGTCCAGCGTGCAAATAATCTCGAACAAGGTTAGTAGCTACTGAGGAAACTTTAAAAATCCTGGGAAACAGAGCGAACGAAGTCTAACAACTATACTATTAGGACGATCGAGATTACACTCCATCGATCCTTCTCTTTCCCAAGAATATTGCCAACGATGTATTTGATCATGTGGATTCGTGAAATTCTGTGGAAAATCTCATATTGAACTCGTTTTTTTAATCATCAGAGAATTTAAGAATCTATGAAGAATAGAAAATTGATAAATTATTTGCGATTTAATAAATTTGAATCAGAATTTTATTGAAGTTTGTACTTTAAAATTCTCATTTTCGTGAAGTTTAATTACAAAATTTTTATTTCCAAAGATCTTGGAAAGTTCAAGGTTTGATTCCATATTCCACGGTTAGTTTGGAACTTGGATTTAATATAATTGGAGTTCTTGAGTTTCTCTCGATTATTTAAAGTAATTTAACACCTTACGAACTTTACCGTGATTAAATTACCCGAAAGATAACCATCCGAAATTTCACGCGAAATACGTATAAAATTATGAGATAAAAATAATCTTCTATTTTTACTATTTAAAATTAACTCGTCATTTTAATATATTCGATTTTTTGGATGTTTTAAACATATTATCATATATTAACCTAATTATTAACCTAATCTAATCATAGAAATTAGTAAAAGTTATTAGAAGTTATTAGAATTATATCTTTCTAAATTAAATTTTATGCAAAATCAAGTTTTTATTAACACTATTATTATTATTTTATTAAAGAAATAGAAACTTGTTTTATTTTTCAAATATCAATATATCATGTTTTGGATATTTTATGTTTTTATATACGTTATATGCATTACGTCATGTCAATTAATAAACAATCCACTAATTAAAAGTTATTAAGATTATCTTTAGTGTTTTTGAATAATGGATGGAAAATATACAAAAACAATTTTAAAACTAATTTACATTAAAAATGAATTTAAATTTGATAATATCGAATTTTTTTGGAGGAGATTAATTTAGATTAAGTTTTTCAAATATATAAAAGAAACATTCTCAATGCTAATTTACATAAGAAAGAAATTTAAATTTGATGATATGAAATTTTTTTAAAAGAGGTTAAGTTAGAGAATCTCTGAGACACTACGACATTTATGTAACACAAATGATAATTACAATTAAAATTAAGATAAAAGAAAAATCTAAATTGTTACAAACTCACCTGCGTAGAACACCAGCAACGAATGCCAGAATTCTTCCAAAAACCCAACACGTCACAAAATCACACGTCACAACGTCATAATTCGCGATCAATCTATTCTCTCAAAAAAATCACTTTTTGAGTCTTTGAATTTCTCATCTTTTCTTTCTTTTTTTTTTCTTTTTTATTTTTTTTATTTTTCACCCTTTCGACCTTTTTCCCCCACTGAATTTAACGTAATCATCACCAAGATAAAAACAGATGATCACACATCGTGGCGAACTTCGAAACAAGGGTATTTTCATGAATCTCTCGACCATTTATCGATCTTGCCACCCTTTAATCCCTCTCGTTTCCACTGGAACGATCGTGCTCTAATTAATTTTCTTTTTTAAGGCTACCTCTTCGATTCGGGGATCGTTAAACACGCGAGTGGGTCAAGGACGCGGAGTGAACTTGCACCCTCGTCGCGTCTAACTAAGGGGAGCAATAGTTACAAGGGAGGAAAGTGGAAATGGCCACTTTGATATCGATTGTCGGTTGTTTTCGAACAATTTCCAAGGAGAATGAGATCTAGTGGTATGAAAAATTCGTACGTACTTTTTTTTCTTAATATGAGAGAAAATTATTTTATTATCTTGATTCGATTAATCAAAATTTTTGATATTGTTCAATTTTTGATTTCAGGAATCAAATTCTAAGATTGGAATATCTTTTTTTTTTTAATTACGAAGAGAAAAAATTTTAATCAAGTAATATTATTCAATTTTTTATTTTTGAAATCGTAAATCGAAATATAAAACATATTAACGACATGATGTAGTTAAATTAAAAATTTTTTAAAAGGAAGATAACAAATTTTTCATTTTATATTAATTTGAAGAATATTTCATCGTGGATAATATAAGAGTTAAAAAAGAATGCGATGAAATAGAATTTCAATCTCTCGATTAAAATTTCAAACTTGATTCCTGTTATAGAAATGGAATCGACTTTGAAACATAATCACTCACATATCCAGAGACATCCTGTTTTCAACGCATCGCTACATTCATACGATTAGCTTGATTATATCGTATTTACATTAGGGCCAAGACTGGTCTCTAATTAAGATTAATTCGCCTCGAGTTTCGAACGAAACGACCCAGTTAACAGGTTAAAATTGAAGCTCCATGCTAAAAATCCTCGAAGGAAGAAACTTCTAGTCGAGGTAATAATTACTTATCGTCGAAGACTTTGAAACCGTCCAATAAACGAAAGAATTAACTTTTCAATTTACGTAATACGTTGCACGGTTTTACGTAAGATGGAACGAATGGTACTTCTACGATTCGAAAACGGAAGAAGAATCACGCAAAGTGACCTATCGAATGAAGAGGAAGAGGGGGAAGAGGGTTAATTTCCGCTCGATCGAAGAGTCGTTGCTCGTCCTCGACCCGTCTTCGAAATAAGGACACAGAGCAATCCAGTTTTCTCGTGAATTCGTCCTTGACTTTTCATCTTTCCAAAATTTTAAAGTTCTTAGAATTTCCTTTTTACGTAACATATAATAAATGTGATACGCGTTTCTGCAAAATTGCTTCTTTACTATTCCCGTGCAAAAGAATTAAAGATCATTGTGAAATTATGAGCTATATGGAAATTACGTTTACAAATAATATTCTTTGATTTCAATGATTTTTTTAATATATCGTCGAATATTATCATTCTGAATAGTGTTGCAAAGATTATATATTGGTAGTCATTGTTCATTAAAAAGTTAATAACAAGAACATTTCTTCGAAGTTTATTTTTAGGTTAAATCACATCGAGAAAACTAATTTAAACTCAATGCAAATTGTTAAATCGATCAACAGTTAAATAAGTTTTTATTTAATTTTGATTTAAAATGAAATTAATTGATGTGAAACAAAAATTTATTTAATCTCTGATTTCTTAGGTTAATAATTTTTTGACAAACCGCCGATTAAAGCTTTCACAAATTCAATGTAACAAATCTCGACGATACATTAAAAGAAATATCGTCTATATCAAAGAACGATATCTTTCCGTAAATATTTATAATTTCCTGTAATAATCTATTAAATTTCGCAATCGTTATCACGAGTAAACAAAGTTAAATCGTTCGAACTTAACGTATCACAGTGTATGAGAGAGAAATTTTCATAGAAATCGTGAAACAATATTGTGGATAGAAAGAATGGAAAAGAGAGCATTGGCTGTAAGAAAACACGTTCGTTTGGAGGGTTGTATCGGGGACAGTGGAGTGCTCGAGACCGGTGATTATTGTCAAAGACAAACGGCCGAGGGATCTCGAAGGAATTCTCGCTTCAAAGAACAACTCTCCTTGAGAAATTCTCGAGTGTTCGCTTTTGATCAACGACCACGTCAAGTGGCTGGAGCGCGAAACGAACGCGGGCGAACCGTTTCCGTTCCAAACTTCACTTTCCTCTCCACCTCCTCCGCTGGACGGAGCTGCGATCGAGTGACTTTTTCATCTTGTAGCGTCCACAGATGACTTTTGCCGTCAAACTGGTGTAAACTTTTTTCGTTACGAATTTTTTTTTCTTCTTTTTCTTTTGAAACAATTGGTTGTAGTGGTAGTATTATATATTATAATAACTTTTGTTGCCAAACTCTCTATCTCTCTTGACTGTGAGTTATTCTTTTATTTTTATTTTTTCAAGGTTAGGTTATATTAATAGAATTATAATGATTTGTGATAGTGAATTTTTATATCAAATTTGAACAATTTTTTCTTTTTGATATTCTTTTTTTTTTTTGTGAAGAAAAAGAATCGGTTGTATTAGTAATAGAATTGTAACAATGATTAGGAGAGAAATATTTGATGATTTTTACATCAAACTCGAAAAAAGTTTCGATTTCTCTTGGCTTATTTTTTTTTTTTTTGAAGAATCATAGATTCACATTGATAGTAAATTAACAATGATCGGATAACGAGGAAATTCAATGAAAGATTTCAAAAAAAAAAAAGATTTTCTTTTTACAGAGAGACGAAAGAAAAAATTAGGTTAGAAGACCAAGAGAGAAAGTGTAAACGGCAGAAAAGTTGGCTAGCCCAGGAAGTCGGTGAAGCGAGAAGGAAGAAAAAAAAAAAGAAAGATTCGGCGGAAAGGTGAGAAGAAGAGTTGTCTAGATCTCGAGACCAGCCACGAGGCAAAGAGGGTGCGCAGTGCGGAAATAATTCTGCGTCCTGCACTCGTGAAGGTCATCTCTGGGACGAGAACACTTGACCTGCTTGCCGCCCAAGGACAAACGCCATTTATCCCGATTATTCCATTTCTTCTCTTTTTTTAATTAACTTTTGCTCTCCATCCACTTATCGATATTTATAGTATATTTTCATTTCCAGGGAAAAAGGAATGGAAAAAGATTTTGGAATTATTTTTTTATCGAAACATCAATTATAAACGATTTTGCATTCTATGCGAAGAAAAAAATGAATTTTGAAAAGTCCAAGTTGTTGAAGAAAGAATTATTTTTTGAGATTTTGATTGAAGCATCAATATTTACGATATTTTCATTTTCTCTAAGAGAAAAAGAATGAAGAAACGTTTTAATAGAATTATTTCTTTGTCAAGAATTCGATAAAAGCTTCGATGATTAAATGATATTGCACTCCACGCGAAGAAAAATATGAAGAAGAGTTTTGGAGAACGAGAAAGTGGAATATTTTAAAATTACTTTTTTTTTTACCAGGAATGTTTCTTGCAAGTTTCTAAGGAATCGTTTCGAGAATAAAGTAGAAAAATTGATGGAATAATTTAATCTCGATGATTAAAGAGAAAATACTAGACAAAAGTAAGAAGATTCCAAGGAATTTCCACATCTGTGTTGAGACGATACCGGGAAGAGTAACAAGGTTATACTATTTTGAGATTTATGGATAGTAAATTGAAAGACGTGAGAAGGTTGAATAAGGGGTAATTCAATCACGAAGATTAAATTATCGATTTAACCGAGGATAAAATTTGTCCCTGGGAATATAGAAGATTCGAAAAGAATCGTATAATTTTCTCGAGACGTTCCCAACAGTCACAGAATTCTATTACGTTTAAATTTATCGACGATTAAATTGGAAACTGTATTATCGATGGAGTAATTTAATCTCCAAGATTAAATGCGAAAGCTTTCGAAGAATTCTGCGAGTTTCTCGTGGAGAAATCATTCCCAAATTTTCCTTTTAATTCGATTTCGATTATTCTCAAGAGAAAATAAACAGATACATTGACTAACGTCGAATTTATTTTAATCTATAACAATAAAAATTATTTATTCGTCTTAAATAGACTTCAATCGTCAGAAGAATTACATTTCCATAGTCATAAAAATCATCTCGAAACGTATTTGTAATTTTATTAGTCTCAAAAATTTAAAAAACAATATCAAAATGGCGCAATAAAGAACTGCATTCTCCATCTATAATATAGTTTATTTCTCAATAGATTTCGATATTCTGAAAATATACGATTCTTGCAATGACAAATTCTTCAAAATAGTAGAAATCCAAGATAGAGAATCTTTGAAATTTTCCTTTAACCGTTCCAATTTATTTTAACCTGTAACAACATACTTCTTGATCCAACTATCTAACCTAATCAATAATAATAGATTATTGACAAAATACACGGATATCTTGCAACAGATTTACCGTGTTAAGAAGAATCGTAACAAATCTAATAATCTTCGCAAAAATAATAACGCTTACATTTTTATGCTCCTCTTCTTCGAAAAGATATTTCGAAATTTCGAATAATTTCATTTAAGGGAAGATGATTCTTCAACGATTAGAAAAATTGCAAAAGTAAATTTATCTTTAAAAATAGAGAAAGTTGGCGACAAAACGTCCCTTTTCATTAAACAACTACTATCGCAATTTATAGATAGGAATATTTTCGACAATGATATGCAAGTTATTCCTCTGAATGGAACCGCTATACCTTGCACCCTTGATGGGAGCTGTTTACACGAGTACACTGACCCAGGAGTACCCTCTTCTTTGTACTTTTCCCCCCATTCACTCGACGATTAAACAACACGATACCTGCGACTCCCAATAAATATACGAGCAACCTGAATGTGACAACCATTTTGTCGAGTGACTAAATTCATCCGCCATTATTTTTTCAGGGTTCAGAAATTAATCACTGATTGTTCGGAAATGAGAAATCTCTTTGTTATTCGAAATTATCGATTGAACAGTTTGCTCCGATAATTTGATGTTTGCTCAATTGATTTTTCAATTGAAAATTTTTGAAAACGATAATTTAAACAAAATTGTTAAATTGGATAAATCATTCTTGGATAATGTGACACTACTACGTTCAAAAAATAAGTAATATATTAATATACAGAGGAGAATTTAAAATACCTAATCTTTTTACCTATACATACATATTCTTAAAAGAAAATTGATTCTTGATGAATCTATCAACATTCTTTAAAAAGGAATAACCTCACATTTCATATAATTCATCACAAATCATTCTATATTTTTCAGAAAATAAGAAATAAACCAAGGAGGAGCAATAAAAAACCCTGAACAGAAGAATTCAAAAACACTCTTTAAATTTTCCAAATCATTCTACTCTTCCAGGAAATAAGAATAAACTAAGGACAAGAACAATCTAGAACAATCTAAATCATTCTATTCTATCTGGAAACAAGAATAAAAGAGGAGCAATAAATAAATAGAAGATAAGAAGGAAATAAGAATAAACTAAGGAAGAATAATAGTTCAAATCTTTTCCTTCTTCCACCACTTGATATTTTACATACTTTATCTCTCATTAAATTTCTCTCTTATAAAATTTCTAAATCATTCTACTTTTTTCAGGAAACAAGAATAATCCCAACCAAGGAGCAATAAAAAATCTAGAACAATCCAAATCATTCTACGCTAACAGGAAACAAGAATCAACCAAGGATCAATAAAAAAAAATCTAGAATAATCTATTCTATTCCATCAAGAAGCAAGAATACAACCAAAGAGGGAGCAATAATTAAAAAAAGAAATCATTACTCATACTCTAAGGAGAAACAAGAACAAACGATGGGGAAGCAATCGAAAAGCCAAAGTCACCCTTCCTCCATCAATCCAAGATCCCAGATGGGGGATTCGATCAAAAAAGAACCCTCCTCGAGGCGGCCTCGAAAGAAGGAAAAGTCACGGATGACCCCGTGACACTGTGCTCGACACGCGAGGTATCGATTGCTCGGACGACCGACGGCAACGCGTCATCGTCTCGTTTCGCTAAAAACAACCTCGACGCCTCGAAATAAAGGGATCGTAAAAGGGGAAACTGCGCGGCAGAAGAGAATATAAGAAGGAAAAAGAAAAGAAAAAAAAGACGGGGCGCGTCGCGAAAGAAACTGGCAATCTGAAAATGTATATTCCGCGACGTATACCCGGCCGGTTGATTGAAAGTAGTTTGTCAGCGGCGTGCTGTCCTTCCATCAGACAGATTGCTCGAATTTCCGCGGCGGGATCGTTTTTAATACCGTGAAATCTCGCCTTCTCCCCAGCCGTGCCGACCTATTAGTCGGAGCCACGCGAGGGGGGTTGGAACAGACTTGGGGGAGGGGGAGGGATGACTTTTGATCGAGGCGAACGAGGGGGAGGGGGTCAGAGCGAGGGTGGAAATGATTGAAAGTATGGTGGTGGAGGAGGGAGAAGGTTGAAAATGTGAGAAAAGAAGAGGATACTAATGAAAGAAGGAGGAAACATGGGGTGGAAGTTTGAAAGGGTTTTTTTTATACACGATCTTCCCTTCGAGGATGCGAATGGGATATGGTTAAAACGGTTACTGAAAAAAAATTTTTTTCCGACGATGGACGAAACGTTATGCGAAAGTTCGAAGAATTTTTTTTCGAATGTAAGTATTATCCTCTTCTAGCCTAACCTAACCTTACGTCCGTATGGAGGAATAGAAATCTGAACGATTTTAAAACCTAACCTACAAATGGAAGAACCATTTTTGTTTTTCGAATCTTTCTCAACGAAAGGTGGGTAAAACCTAACCTAACGTATAAATACGAACGGTTTTTCTTCTTCGATTCTCGCGTACGATAAAGAAATGAAAATTCCTATTTGAGAACGAGAAGAGGAAGAATCGTTACGTTAATCGATGGAAAAAGGAATAATTCGAACTGTCGTATTTCAGACGATTAATCACGACGCACGTAAAGGTGAAGAAGAAGCATTTCTTTTCCCCTGCTTTCCGTGAAGTTTCGAGTGGATACGCGAGATCCACTCCTCCCTTTGAAGAATCGGCGGACTGCTCGTTTTGGTGGAGTTACCAGCGTCGACATGAGTCTGACTCATGGAAAGGGAGAAAACGGCCACACTTTTTCCTCGTTTCGATCCGATCAAAGAAGAGGAACCAGCTTTTTCCCTCCACGAGGGAATTCACAAAGGGACCATCGATCCTCCACCTCGCACTTTCACACGTGCGCTATCGCGATCGAGATCTTGCTCCTTAATTCGAGCTTTCGCAATTCATACTTCACCTTATCTTCCAAAATCCTTAATAACAATTTATCGAGAAAGTTATCGAGAGTAACCGGTAATTATTATAACTATATTGTCATATATTACTAATAGAATCTAATAGAATAGACGATATTCAGATAGTATATTCAACTACTCTCACCTTTCTTGATAAATTAGTATTAAATTAGTGTCTAAATAATAGTATCTGTTTGATATTACCAGATAATAGTGTTTAACTTATCGAATAACCGTACTAATTATTGCAGGTGTCGAATACCACCGATTAATAACTCGAAGAAGCTCGGAAAGGAAAACTCGGGTAAACGAAAGGCCGCTGTTGCGAGAGCTTGCGTCACCGCACGTCCTTGACCAGTCCCCGCGACTGCCAACCCAGCCAACCCTTCCAAAATGCCAAAGGATCAACCGCTCGCGTAAACTCTCTCCCCCCAAAATCTAACCTCCACACTCTTTCGAATATTCGCACCACTTCGCACATCCTCCTTGGAAATTCTCCAATGTATATATATATATACATACATACATACATATATCACTATACGAACCGAGAGAACACAAACACGAGGATAAAACACGTACATATATATATATATATATATACTTCCCATATAGAAGAGGAGAAACGAACGCGTCTCCCCGTCTCTCTGTGCGACGATAATGATAATAGTAATGAATAAAAAAAAGGGGGGGAGGGGAAGTAACGAGGGAGCGTGTCGCGTGTGTTGCGTGGCGCGCAACTGGCCCCGGTGTGCTCCGCTCGGTGCCTCGTCCGGAGGGCTTGTGACCCAGTTCGAGGGCCAGGAGAGTGCGCGCTACGGCCGGCAGCGCGTCGCGATACCTACTGAGCGGATCCAACCGTTCCAACCCCCCAGCTGCGCTCGCTCTCCACCCCCTCCACCGCCCTTTCCACCAGAAAGGGAGAGAGAAAGAGAGAGGGAGAGAGAAAGGGACTTGAATGGAGAGAGAGAGAGAGAGGCGCGAGTGTACGAAGGGAAAAAAGGGGTCGTGGGAGGGAGGAGAACGGTGCAACGTGGCTGGGATAGTTTGGAAGAAAGGATGGTGAGGGGAGAGAGAGAGAGAAAGGGTTTGTGCGTGAGTGAAAAAGAGACGTGACAAAAAAAAAAGGGAAGAGGATTTTTTGGAAGAAAGGGTGAGCAAGAAAGAGAGAGTTTCTCCCTCGTGCGTGGATAAAAAGGAGATGCGAGGGAAAAAGGAAGAAAAGGATTTTTTGGAAGAAAGGGTGAACGAGAGAGAGAAGGGAAGAAGAGGATTTTTTGGAAGGAAGGAAGCGAGCGAGAGGGTTTCTGCCTCTGGTGCGTGAATCAAAGAGAGATAGGAGAGTGGAGAAGTTTTTTGGAAGGAAGAGAAGGGCGCAATGTGGCTGGGATAGTTGGAAGGAGTGAGGGGTGAGCACCCCTACTCGCTTCGAAAGCGCTCCCCTCCATATTGATTAGTGCGCGCGGGCCGGCACGGCAATCCAGAGCGGAGCGAGCTGCGCTACGCGCTGTCAACGCGGGTTGGCGAGCTCGAAATTCGGCCGTGCTCTCGCCTCTCTCTCCTTTCGAAAATGGAAGGAACGGGGTTGGAGATTATGAGAGAAGTCGGTCCGAGAGGAAGTTGGACGTTGGTTTGGTGGAGATAGATGCAAATGGATCCTTTTTCTAAAAAAGAAAAAAAAAACATAAATGAGAGAAAATGTCTCAAGAATGTGATGACTATGCACGAGTTGTGTCGTAATTGTGACGATAATATTCGAGAAATTAAGTTTAAGTTTTGGAGAGTCAGGTAATTTCGAAGGATAAACGAAGGACGTGATTCGTTTTATTGGACGAGTTTGTTTTAAATGAAATGTTCGAACTTGTTACACACAGAGTTATTCGACGCTTTTCGAATAATAAAATCGTTCGAGCAACTTTATTTTTTAATCTAAAAAATTTATCCAACCATCTCTTCGCTTTTTCAAATTCAAACTAGTTTGCCTCGCATTTGATTGTAAGAGAAGAATTTCGATTCGGAAAAACTTACGATACGGAGAATGGAAGACTATATACGTATATATATATGTTAGTTTTATACACGAAGAAAGTTACAGGATAGAAATGATATTTAAATTGCAACGAAGCAATAGAGACATTAAGAATAAAGTTAGTTCAATGAGCTATTTGAATAATTTACTATTCAAAGCGTAGAATAACCGCGAATAATTATGCAAAGATCAACTATAGTAGTTATAGGAATAAACGTTATTCGAGCATTTTAAATGAAATTGTTACTCAAAGTAAATTTAATCGTTGTTAAATTAATTTTTCAAGCCTGTCCAACTTTGCTCGAATTAAAACTACAATTACAAAACAAAATTTTCAAACCTTAAACTCTTTTTTTTCGTTGAAAAAGAGTTTGAAAAAAGATCGAGGTTAGATGGATAAAATTTTAACGATTAAAATTAAATAAAAAAAAAAAGAAAAAAGGAAAATACTCGAACAATTTATCACTCGACGCGTAGAATAACGCTGCGCACAACTGCAACGAACGAGTATAAATTATACAAAATGCAGTCAACTGTATAAATTTATATCACGTACAAGTACATAAATTCGTTAAGTAAATTTATTATTGCAAACCAACTTTTTATTCGTTTATTATTTTAACTTTTAAATTTTCAAATTAATTTTTCCAACGGCCAATTTTAAGGTTAGGTTCGAAAAATTTGCCACTAATCGACGAAGTATCTCGGCGAGTAATTTCGTAAACGGTATTTTTATTTCTCGATGCGGAGGAGGAGAGAAATATTGGATAGCGATATTGGTGTTTGAATGCGGTAAATAAAGATTTAAAGTTGTTATAAATTAAATATCGTTCCAAACTCGTGTTTTGGAATATATCAAAGAATCGTGAAAGTGTTGCGAGATTTGAAGAGTTTGAAACGCTTTTGCCTCTTAATTAAGAAGGATGAAATATTCTATTGATTGTAATAACAACGTTAAACGGATTTGAATGAAGAAAAGTTACTCGTTCAATCCCTTTCCAAAATGTACCGCTTCCGAAAAATTGAGCCAGAATGAAAGCTGCATCCATGAATTTTCCAATTTATAAAATCGATCTTCCTTCCTTTTTTTTTTAAATCTAATTTCATGTGTAATCGATCGTTTTGTCAATTCGAATTGTATTTTTTTTTTTTTAATCAATTACCAAAAGATTGCTTTTTCGATAGAAAATTAACGATTCTTGATATACAATGGACGAAATTTATTCGTTTTATAAAAAAAAAAAATAAATGTTCGAAAAATATTCTTTCGTTTATTGATTTGAATTTTATTTCGATTTTATAAATAAATTTTAAATTCAATAAGTCGAAACATCTTCCAAATAGATAATAATAGAGAATTGTACGCTTGTAGAAAAATATATACCTCCCCCCTCCCCCTACGAATTTTTTCAAATAATTCACGACTTATCCGAACCAATCGTATTACGAGAGACTCGCCCTCGTATTATCTTCAAATTACCAATATGACCCATTGGAAAATTCATAAATATCCAAACGCCTCGAAGTGGGGAGTGGGGAACGATTGCTAGTTCGACCATTTTTCCACCAGGCGTCCTGAATCACGGCCAGCCGTTCCTCCGACTAATGAAACCATTTATCGACAGCCAGCCAATAAAGCGTCCCTGTAATATGAAAATTTGCACGGGTAAACAGCAGCAAGTGCGCGCGCAGGCGCATTCGCGTATGCAACCACCGAGGCTGGTCACAGCTGCGAATCCAGTTTTATTAATCGGTCCCAACGCTGTTACGCCATTAAGGACTGACGTCCTTGATTCTCGATTTTTCACGAATTAATAATCCTCGTTTCGTACGTTTTCTTTACGCGATATAAACAAAGAGATCGAACAATCGATCGTTCGATGACAGATCGAGAATGATTATTCGATGGAAATCGAACTTGTCGCCCGTTTAAGAGGCCAGAAATTTCCACAATGAAATTTCAACTCGTGAGAATTCCACTTCTGAACGTTCGAGAGTACTATTCGCAAATAGAAAGAGAGAGAGAGAGAGAGAGAGAGAGAGAGAGAGAGAGAGAGAGAGAGAGAGAGAGAGAGAGAGAGAGAGACGACGACGACGA